CTGGGGCCCTTGGGGCCCCCTGGGGGCCCCCGGGGGGCCCTGGGGGGCCCCGTGGAAAGAATTCTAAGGGGGATGAAATTAAGATGAATATTTTTTGAAAATGAAATTTAATTTAATTTTTTTAAGTCAAAGAGGGAACAAGTGGTTTGAATTATTATTTCTGCGACACAGCTAGCCACAGCTAGCCACAACTAGCCACCGCTAGCTACAGCTAGTCACAGCTAGGCACAACTAGCCACAACTAGCCACAACTAGATACAGCTAGCCACAGCTAGCCACAGCTAGCCACAGCTAACCACAGATAGCCACAGCTAGCCACAGCTAAACACATCGAGCTGCAGCTAAACACATTTAGCTGCAGCAAGCCACAGCTAGCCATAGCTAGCCACGGCTAGCCACAGCCAGCCATAGCGAGCCACAGCTAGCTAATCTTTTTCTGGGTCTGCCCAGGCAGCTGAAACAGCAAAGCCGCCCCCCAGCCGTAAACCCTAAACCCTAGAATTGAAGTTCTAAAGCCTAAACCCCAAACCCTAGACTCGGATTTTCTTAGAGTTGTCGTATTTATTTTTGATTCCTTTGAATCTCCCTTTCAGCTTTTCATTCTAGTCACAAAAAGAAATAAAATAAAATATTCATATAATTTCTTCATTTATTTTTCTTTCATTTTTTTATTTAAAAAGGCAAAAAGATATTTCCGTGGCGGAACTCGAGGCCCTGGTGTGCTGAGTTCAGCGTCTGCCCAACGCTCTAAACCCTAAACCCTAAACCCTAAACCCTAAACCCTAAACCTCCCTTGAGAGGGCCAGAGTTTCTGAGGGTTGGGGGTTTGCTGCTGCAGCAGCCACAGGCGGGTCCTTGGCGTTAAAAATTGGATTGGGAAAGATTATTTAGATTAAATTTAATTAAATGGTCTAATTATTGAATTAGGATAATATAGAATTAAATTAAATTAAATAGTTTTATTTAATTCAATTAAGCATCAAAATCCACCAGTGTGTAGGGCTGAGACCGTTATTTGCCACATTCGGCTGCAAAGCCCGTAGGAAGCTGCAGCTAGCTGCAGCTAGCTGTGGCTAGCTGCAGCTAGCTGCATCTAGCCACTAGGGCCCCAACAAGTAGCTTCAGCTAGCTCTGGCTAGCTGCAGCTAGCTGCAGCTAGCCAGCGGGGCCCCAGCAGCGCAAGTCCATGCGGGAGTGGTAGGATGGGTGTGCAGAGCAGCCGCTGCTGGACTGCTGCTGCTGCTGGGAAGCAAATTGGGTCTTTAATGGGCCAAATTATTTCCATTTCAATTAATTTTACCTTTTAATTTAACTTTTATCTGCGGGAAGTCAGAGACACATGCGGCAGCAAGAGCGCAGCAGCATGTCACCCTCCGTGCAGCGGGTCTTCGGGATTCTGCAGCGAAAGCGGCGTTTTTCGGAGCTAAATCCAGGGAGTTGAGACTTTTAAATTTGAATAAATGAAAACAAACTGTTTTAAAAAGCAACTGGGGCTTGAAACCCCGCGGAAGTCCCGGGATCTGCGCAGACACGCAACATGCAGCCGAGCAGCTGTGACGGCAGCGCCGCAGCACCCGGTGCTGCGGCGCTGCGCATTTTACCGCTGCATCACTGTCTTCTGGATTTTCTTGACTTTGCACTTCGGCGAAAACAGGAAAAACACCCAAAGGGATGAAAGCCAGCGCCTGAAAGGCCCCTCTTGGCGTCCTGGGGCAGCAGACCGCGACGCGCGCCGCTGCTCGGTGTGTGCGGAATCCGGCGGGAAAAGGATCGAATTGAGCTGTTTTCAGTGAGGAATGCCATTTTAATTAGATTAAAAGAATTAAAGTTGCTGCAAAACTGCGAAATAAGCCGCAGAAGACGCGCGGCGCTGCTGCGTTTCGCGAAACCGTTCAAGTTCGTTCAACTTGCACTGCACGGTGTCGCTGCTGGAGGTTTTCAGTTTGCGATCTTGCATTTTCCCCGTTATTTTCCCGTCTTTTTTGCATTTTCTTGGTTTTCTTGAATAGATTTGGGTCTGTGTGACGCAAAGGAGCCGGCTTTCGGCGGGTGTGGGTCCGCGAGACGGAATTAAGCGCCGCTGTCACTTGTTGAATGCGACACGCCAATGGCGCCGCTCTCAGACAGCCTCACTCTGTGGGCGCTGCTGCTGCCGCCAGCAGCGGGACTTCTCTGGGCTGCTTATCAGGCCTGGAGAATTTCCCAAGTCAAGCTTGAGGGGCCTCCCGAGGGCGACAACAAACGCCTCACCGACCGCCTCTACGTCGAAGTGAGCCCCCAGCAGCAGCAGCAGCAGCAGCAGCAGCAGCGTGAATGCGGCAGCAGCAGCAACATGAATGCAGCAGCAGCAACATGAATGCAGCAGCAGCAGCAGCAACTGCAGCAACAACAGCAGCAGCAGCAGCGGCAGCGTGTGAAAGGGTGGGTGTGCTGCTGCTGCGCAGGCAGCTAGCAGCGTGCAGGAGCAGCTGGAGTCGATGAAGACAATTGCGAAGAACATCGCGGAAGGCGCCGACACTTTTCTTCTCCAGGAGTTCCGCTACATCCTCGTCTACGTCGTGGTCTTCTCCGCAGTCCTTTGCTTCGCCATCGGGCCCTGTGAGCTGCTGCTGCAGCTGGTGCTGCAGCTGCTGCAGCTGGTGCTGCAGCTGGTGCTGCAGCTGCAGCTGCTGGTGGTGTTTGTGGTGTTTTCTGTCGCGGTCGTATTTGTTCCCTACTTGCAAGCCGTACTGCAGCCCCAGAAGAGTTCCGAGACGGCAGCAGCAGCAGCAACAACAGCAGCAGCCCGTGTGCGTGCATGTGCTGCTGCTGCTAGTCCTACTACTCCTGCTGCAGCTGCAACGCAGCAGCAGCAACACCAACTAAGTACACCTACGCGCATGCTGCTGCTGCTGCTGCTGCTGCTGCTGCTGCTGCTGCTGCTGCTGCTGCTGCTGCAGGGACGATGGTGGCGTTTGTGGTGGGTTGTTTGACGTCGATGCTGAGCGGGTACTTGGGGATGAAGATTGCGGTGTACACAAACCTGCGGGCCTGCCACGAGGCCTGGGGGGAGCTGGGATCGTTGGGATCGTCTTTTGGGATCGCCTTGCGGGGTGGGATCGTGATGGGGTTCGGCCTCGTCTCCCTCGCGCTGTTCAGCCTTCTCGGCCTCACTCTCTTCTTCAGACTTCCCGCAGTCTTCGGGCCCAGGCCCGAGGACCAGGCCGCCCTTTTCGAGGCCCTCGCCGGTACCTGCTGCTGCTGCTGCTGCTGCCGCTGCTGCCGCTGCTGCCGCTGCTTCTGCTGCTTCCGCTGCTGCCGCTGCTGCCGCTGCTGCCGCTGCTGCCGCTGCTGCGTGCTGCGCCCCCGCTGCTGCTGGCGCTGCTGCTGGCGCAGCAGCAGCAGCAGCCGCTGCTGCCGCTGGCGCCGCTGCGGGCGCAGCAGCAGCAGCTGCCGCTGCCGCTGCCGCTGCTGCCGCTGCCGCTGCTGCCGCTGCCGCTGCTGGCGCCGCCGCTGCCCGCAGCAGCAGCAGCAGGCGCCGCGGGCGCGGGGTGTGCGCGCAGGGTTCGGGCTGGGGGGCTCGTCGATAGCGCTGTTCGCGCGGGTGGGCGGCGGCATCTTCACGAAGGCGGCCGACGTGGCCGCCGACCTCTGCGGCAAAAACGCCTTCGGACTCCGCGAAGACGACCCGCGCAACCCCGCCTGCATCGCGGACAACGTGGGGGACAACGTGGGGGACGTGGCGGGGATGGGCGCGGACCTCTTCGGCTCGCTGGCGGAGGCGTCCTGCGCGGCGCTGCTGCTCGCGGGCGCCTCCGTGGGGCCCTGCAGCAGCAGCAGCAGCAGCAGCAGCAGCAGCGGCAGCGGGGGCGGGGTGGAGGGGCTCGCGCACAGCTTTTCGGGGCTCATGTTTCCCGCGGCGGTCTCGGCGTCGGGGATCGTCGCGGGGATCGGCTCCGTGCTGCTCGTCCGCGCCTGCGTCCCCGCCAAGTCCTTCTCCGGGGTCGAGAAGTCCCTCAGGAGTCTCCTTTACGTCGCCACGCTCCTCGAGACGCCCCTCGTGCTCCTCGCGGCCTACTACTTCCTGCCCCCCGAGTTCGCCCTCGCCGCCCCCGGGATCGCCCCCGGGATCGCCC